TTCTTGTGTAAAGATGAACTTATTTTTTTATTACATTATACTTACTATTCATGTTTAATAGCAACAAATACAAGGATGAGTGGACATATAGCCTACGGAATGGAAGGGAAAAAAAGCAGATAGAGAAAAGGAAGGGAAAACAATACCAGCTACAGAACCTCATAACACACTTCATGGAATTCAGATCAACAGAAGCAAATTTTATGACAAAACTCAAATAAATAAGAGCCACGGACAATTATATGCATGTGTGTTTATTTCTTAAGAAACCAGTATTTTGTCATGGCCAGTTGTATGTTGTTGTCTCCCATAAATAGTTTGAAAATCCTAATTTGTGGCGACGATTACGTGTCAAAGAATCAAACCATGAACATTGTATATAAAGAAAATTTCAATAATATATAGATTTTATTTTTCATTATATTTATTAATTTATTAATTATTAATGACATAATCTTTCCTTTAGTAAGTACTTTGAATTTTAATTGAAAATTTCTTTTTAAAAGGGACGGAGATAATAAACCTCCGTGCATCGCACGGGTATTGTACTAGTTTAAATTAAATTATGAGTACTTTTTTATTTTATGAAGAAAAATAGACATTAATTTTAATTTCATGCCTCCCTTTTATCTATTTTCCCTTTTCTATCTTTTCCAATTTTAGGGGGACAGAAAATGTGTGGTGAAAATAAAACCTGCATCGATTATTTTTCACGTGTTTTGAATATGTCCAAGTATTTTGGATAGCCAATAATAAAGTTTTTTCCTTTTTTTTGTTTAATATATTCCATGAAACAGCTGTATTTGCAATGTGGGAGTGATATACTTTATTTGTTTTATTGAATAACTGGACCCCTTAAATTGTAATATTAATTTTGATATTTGAAATTTGAATGTGATTCCTCAAAGGAGTCGGTGGCCAAATATGGATATAATTAGGGATATTTCGACAATAATTTTATAATGATGATAGTTGTACACAAAATTGAAAGTGTGTTAACTATATATTTTTGTAGTTAACATGTATTAAAATTTAAAATATAGTAAGTTTGAGACTACTTGTAAAAAAACAGCCGACGAGGCGGATTTAGGAAATAATAGTCCAGCCCGTTCTGCCGCCGCGGGTTGGGCAGGCCAAGCTCGCTTGATATTACCAAAAATTAAATTACACGCATTTATATTTATTTGAAAATAAATACCATAAATGTAATTTTAAACATATTTAATCACTTCTAATTAATATTATTAAAATGAATATTGTTCAAGTTTATGGAGTTTGGATTAACTTAATTCTCATAGTTTAATTGTTGAAACATTAAATAATTTGGTTAGGCATTTTAAATATAAAGTTGAAACTTATAAATGCATTTAACACTTTATAATACTCTATCTAAGTTAAGTATTTTAATTACATATTTTTTATTTTATTGTTTTTGCCGGGTCCACGGGTTGGCCCGTTTAGACATGCTCCTTGACTGGCTGAAAAGCCCCGCGTTTTGTCCGGCTGGCCAACGGGCTTAAGCCCGTTTCGACGGATCTAACTACAAGTACTAAATAAACCATTAATGTGGTTCATTTAGAAAAATGAGGAATCATTCTTAAAAATAAAAAATAAAAAAAAATAAATTAAAGTATGACATAGGTGATAGGACTAATGTTTTCAAACCAGCCTAATAATAAATAAAAGTAAATTAAAGTACGACATAGGTGATAGGACTAATGTTTTCAAACCAGCCTAATAATCAACTCAAGTTGGCTTTCTGATCACTTCGTTGAGCCGAATAATTAACTTTATGCATTTTTATAATTATATACAGTACCTTCACCTTATAATTATACATAAAAGCTAGATGTAAATTTTATAAATAAAACTTTTATTAGTCTTATATCTCGTCATAAATGTTTACTATATAAAAATATATAATTTTATTTTTAAAATAACAAATATTTTAAAAAATAAAAATATATAATATTTGGGTTAAAACTTGTTGACCTAGTCAAGTCAATGTCTAGTCGACCCGGTTATGGATGGGTCGACCAGGTTTTGACCAGGTTCCTTGTTAACTGGTCTGAAGAACCTACTTGAACTCGATCCCAGCTCTGGGTTGACCCACTAGGCCCGTCTGAGTAAAGAAAGTACATTTTATATTATCAGTATTCATTTATATTAAACGAAAACCATTTAACCAGCCTAATTCCGACTAATCGTCAGGTTGTCTCTCCTATATACAATCTATATATATAAAAAGAGGATAAACATTTACTAAATATAATAGCTAAAAAAATCTGAGAACATTTAATGCATATATTATTTAAAAACTTTTAAATATATGTATTATTTACTTGCATATATGCGTTTTCAAATTAGATCAAATCAGATATGATCAAAAAGAATTTTTTTTTTCCTTTGAATAAATATTAACATCTACAATAATTTCATTGATATTCATTATAATAAACTACAAAATTAATTTTATGTGATTCATGATTATAATATTTTGGCAATAACAACATGAAAACATATTTTAAGTTCTAACCATATTACTAATTCTATCACAATTATTGACTTTTCATTCTAAACTATTTATAGAAAAGCGTAACGGGTTAGGTAAATTTTTTCTTCCAATCAACCATGTGAATCGAGTTGGTGAATTAGTCTTTACTAATACAATGTATTCTTAAGATCTATTTG